TCAGGCCAGGTTCTGAGCACATACCAATTTTATGTCAAATACTTAAAATCTTTTGTTAGCTATCCTTTATATAAATAAAACCAGTGTGTGTAAGCATACTTATTTTACATACCCTTTCTGTATCCATTCTCTGTACATATCCTCCCACTTGTTTTTCTACCTTTTGGGCATTTCCCCTGTGCAACAGTAACAAATACATTGTGTGCTGTCATGTTCTTCTTTTCTTAGTTTTAAGAACGAGTCTGCAACACATGTCTGTGCATCTCCAGTGTCTTGGCTGGAGCTAGTTCAGAATCCTAAAATTATTGCCTTTTTGTCTTTCTAATCTGACCTTTTTTTAACACTATAAGAAGGGGATGGAGCTTCAGACCAGGAAGGCATTTGGATGATCTACTCTGACTGTGTGGGGCTATACGAGTGGGCCACTGTTTCTCAAAGAGTTTTGACATCTTCATGTACAATGAATCCCCAACCTTGGACATGTTCAAAAGCCATCTAGACACTGTCCTGGGCAGCTGGCTCTAGGCAACCCTGCTTGAGCAGGAGGGTTGGTCCAAATGACATCCACGGGTCCCTTCCAACCTCAGCCATTCTGTGTTTCTGTGAACCTCTAACTGCATGTGTCATCTATTATATTCATGACGGACTTCTTCACTTCTGTGAGGGTGGATATTGCCTCAAAAGACCTCTGCCTGATTCTGTTCACAAACGTGTCTCTTCTTACTATCTGATATCTCAACGTATTCTCTTCCAGATCAGTTCAAAGTCAATAGGTCTCAATTAATGTATGAAGTTGATGTCAGAGGATCTATATGCAATGTATGTTAACCTGTCCTTTCGTTCTTTCCCAAATCCTTTGTTCAAATCTAGTTATGCATTCTCATACCCATGCCACAATACTTGAGGTTTAATCACTTCAAAATTCATCTGGATTCTGTGAAAATCTTTTTTTTTTTTTTTTGAAAGAGAGAGAGAATCAATGTTAGGCTGGTTCATCATTTGAATATGGCCTCCAGCTTTAATGGAGGACACTGGAGATAGGGTCTTTTAGATTTTGAAATGTACAAAGATCTTACTATAAATATTGCAAAATTACAGTGTTTCCATATAGTTCTGCATGGTTATTCGTCTGCAGGATGAAAAAATTTTGTCGCATACCACCTCACAGTTGAGATGATGATCAGTAACAGTGCTTTGAATGTTTTCATTTTATTATGGAATTAGAGACTAACTGGAAAATACTACTAGACAGAAATTGTCTTTTTTCTTCTTCTCAAAGCCATATGAGGGGCTGAGACTTCAGGACCTGCGAAGGCTTAAGGATATGCTGATCGTGGAATCTGCTGACATGCTACAAGCCCCGCTCTTTACTGCAGAAGCTCTACTTCGGGCACATGGTAATCCAAAACCTTAAAGGCTAAAGAAACTGTTTTCAGCAAATCAAAATTGTATGTTTGCTTTTTATTTCCAAGTAAAAGAGAGGTAACGGTCAATCAAATACCGGGAAACTTCATACAGTGATTCAGAAAGAAATACAGATGCAGTGTGTCAAAAAGCATTGAGGTACACAGGGAAGCTGATAGGAAAGTGATTCAAGTTAGGAATTATAATGGAAGACATTTTGGCTAAGTTTTGTGGAGAAACAGAGCTTTCCTATTTTAGTGAGAGATACAGAAGTAGAACTTCCATGGTTTTATATGTCAAAAAAGTTAAATTCATTGTACCTATTTTGTCAGACCATTGGTTTCTGCCACTATATATTTGTGTATAAAACTGGATCAATTTTTTTCCTTTTTTGTGGCAATAATAACAGTCTGACCACTGTAATAAATGGCTGGAAATTGCCTTGGGGTTTAAAGCATATGAGTGTATGTCCTTTGAAGGTTTTTATAGTTACTCTTTTAATACAGGGTATACTTTTCTATGTGTGTGTCTGTAACTAGTTCAATTTCACTGAAACCAGGCAGTGCTCTTGTCATGTAATTTAAACTGGGATTGTCAGAATGGAGATATACTGAATTCATTTGTGTTCGCTCCAGACAAAAGTATCTCTGAAGCTCAGTGGAAGCTTTAAGCTTTGATTCAGTGATTCAAAACTTATGCTTATTGAAGCATCTGCATTGTTACTGTATAGCAAAGGAACTACTCAGGCAGTTAATGGTTTGCACGCTCATCACCGTATTGCTGGATTAAGCTTTCATTCCCTATTATTTCTGTGGGTTCCTTGTGAAATAAAAGGGAGCGGGAAAAGTGAAATAAAACATTATTTTAAACCCACAAGATATGGCAGACCTTCATGAGGAGGTATGGTACCTGAAACTCATCTCTTTTACATTTTTTTCAGTAGTTGGTATTTGCGTTCCTTTTAACGTTGAATTAAGTCAATATGAACTCATGCCAGTCTGATGATATTTAAGGTACAATCTTTGCATATATGGTTTTCTAATGTTGTTTGTTTAACACTTATAACGTGTTTATAATATGTGCAATATTTGAATGCTATTTTGGATTCTCAGAATACTCTCATTAAGGCTAAATATTACTAAATATTTGACTAGGTGGGTAGGCAGATTCTGTAACCTGTGCAGATATTTTGATGAAAAAAATGATGGCAGTACTGTTCAAACTCACAGCAGAGTCCATAATAAGTCCAAAAGCACCGAGGTTGATGTAAACTGTGGAGAAATGTCTTCCAGCATCTAGCATGCAGGAATTGAAAGTTGAGAAAAAATCAGTCTGTGATGGAAAGGTCATTCTACTGATGTTGCCTTAGTGATGTAGCAGTAACTTAATGCAGTCGGCCAGTGCAGAGAAAGAAGCACGGGAAAGAAGCACATACAATTTGCAAGTCATGAGGAAGTCAACTGTTTTGCCTGTAGCTGTAGTCATATGCTGAAAATTATTCAAACAGAATTTATTTTATTTGAAATGAAGACATAGAGTTGGTTCAGGCTAATAAAGGGAATAACTGAGCTATTTACAAAAGATTAGACAATTGGGAAACATCAAATGCCAAATTGTAATGTTTTTTTACATTTAATCTTGAAATTCATAAAAGAATAATGTGAAATCTTAACTTAATTCACACTTAATGTATGAAAAGCATGTTTTAAATTTCTGGAAAGATCATTCTTACGAACTACTTTTAATAGTTTACTGACATGTAATATTTAATCTGACAAACTTTGATTTCTTTTATCATACAACTTTATCAATTTACTGACACAGGCTGTAAGAGTTGAGTATATTTTTTTTTCTTTAGTTAACAGATAGAAGTATGTAGAATTACAGCCGAGGTAAAAAAATGTTATTATGGCAGTCGTGAAAATAAATAACATCACACTTTCTACAGGTGTTTTTCAACATTGTTTCTGCTTCTCTTCTAGTTATTATATAGCAGTTGATTTCAGGATAAAAGAGAGGCAATTCAACAAATATAATTGCCTCATATTTTACTAAAACTCATAACTTAGTGAAGAAAACGCAGTGGAATCTATTTAGTATGTCTCAGTCCTGCGTAATTTTAAAGATACAGAACAGACGAAGGAGCTCAAGAAAACTTATAGCAAATTTTATCTGTATCATAGCATCAGTCAGCTCCCCTCTGAAAGATAATAAGCTCAGGATAATTTAAAAGATGCTAATAAAATTTATAATTTTTCAAATGCAAATATGTTCAAGGTCCATGTCTTTAAACGAATGAAATTGAACTGACCTGTGATATGTTTTAGCTTAGATAAGTAAGCACCTGATCAGTAAAAAAGCTCAAAGGCTTTTTTTCATACTAGGAGAAAGTAGATGTCAGTATGGCAGCAGTCATTATTTGACAGGGGCAGTATTTTACTAAGTTCAGTGATTAGAACATGGTGGGGTTTTTTCCAGCATTAATGCAGTGTAGGAATACTATTTATCTTTCTTCTAAAATCTAAAATTAAACAAAAATTAACACAGATCTTTTGGTTAACAACACTGAGTCTCCAGTGGGAATCCCTAACATTAAAAAAAAAAAAAACCCCAAACACAGCTTTAAAATACTTATTTAAAGCGATAGGCAAAACTCTGGAGATTCTCTTTCCTTCTGAAATTCTGATTCATCTGATCAGTGCATAGTATTGGTGGGTGTAGATTCAAATCCATATAGGAGTTTGATAGATTTATATTTAAGTGAAAACTTTTAAGTGTTTTTAATAGGAAAAAATCACTATTTGTAAGATATCTTTAGTATTACTCTTAGGAATCAGAACCAGAACACATTTCAAACAATGACTAAGAAAGATTTGATTTAGTTTTACGATACATAATAAAATCTGTTTCACTCATTCATTCTTGTATATAAATGGGCAATGTTAATTGTGAATGGAAGTAAAGCATTCCATAACACCTAATTTGCAATCAGGTGGGGATTTTTTCTTTTTTCCCTCAGAAATACATCACACTCATATGCATATAGAAAGACTGGTAACTCATTAGGTCACAAATCTTTTTGTAATTGGTTGTACCTTAGTCTTCTTCCTTTGTAGCACTGGGCTTCATCTTCTTAAAAAACCACAACAGATAACCATGAATCCATATTGAACAATTACTGGTTTCATAGAAAGGGAAGATGTTGAAAATGCAAGGGCTGTTATATTTTGATCTGTCTTGTCAAATCACTGCAGTTCTGGCTTCTGATTAAGTCTCCTAGCTACGACGATTGCTGTAAATAAATAATAAAAATTATTTTATTTAAGCTTGATGTTACAGGGAAAGGAAATACTTGCAATGCAGTTATTTACATAAATACATTGCATTATGTATTATCTTGGAGCGTGTTCTGTAAAATTTAATGTCTAAAATGTCTAATGTCCCTTGTACTTTATCATATTTATTTCCAAATTTTTCAGTTTAGTGTACAAGATATATTTTAAATGTTGTCAGCTGCATAACTTCCTGTATCTGTATATTTCTTGAAGACTGGGACAGGGAGAAGTTACTTGAAGCATGGATGTCTAATCCAGAGAACTGCTGCCAGCGTTCAGGGGTTCAGATGCCAACTCCCCCTCCAAGTGGATACAACGCGTGGGATACGCTCCCTTCGCCTCGAACTCCACGCACTACTCGTTCTTCTGTAACTTCCCCCGATGAAATCAGCCCCTCACCAGGAGACATTGAGACAGCTGTGGTAAGTTTAGAACTAGGTCTGAAAGGAGTGGGGCAGAAGAGCTTATTTCTAAACGTAGCACACCTACGTGGACAGGAGAGCTGTGTTGGCATCTCATTCTGCAAATAAGTTTGTGAAGGTGTTTCTTTTTCCAAAAGCGACAAACAGAGAAGTTGACACCTTAAGCATTCTGTATATTAACACAATCAAGCATCTGGCTAATAAAAAGTACTCTGTTTTCACCTTGGCTGTCACTCACAAAGTAGCATTTTATCCAGCTACAATCACATCAGTACAGTTGGCTCTTCTGAGCTTCTCATCTCATCAAGATGCTCACTTTCATTGTATCCATTTCCCTGAATGTACTCTATGCTGTGAACACTGCCTTTTGAAAATTTTTTCTTTAGAAAACAGAATTCTCTTTGTCTGCATTTTGAAATGTCAGCCCACCAGTGTACTGTAAGCTTATAATTACTTTTACTATGTGTGGGCTGCTTCAAGCGGTTTACAGGGCTATTGCAAATTTGAAATATGAAAGCGCCTTTCATTAAAATCAGTGTGGTTCTTTTGGAAGACAGAGTTCTCTTTTTAATAATCTGCAGCTGCAACATTATAAAACTTTTGCTCCATGACCTAAGCATTTTCCTAGAATATTATATGCAGACTTGCAGATGGATCATCCCTAGATCTCATAG